CCCAAACCCTAAACCCCAAAATCTAAACCCCAAACCCTAAACCCCAAACCCAAACCCAAGCTCGAAACTCGAACCTCCCGCGCCTCCACCCTAACCCCCAAAAGCTCAAGCCCCCTGCCCCAAAGCCAAAGCTCGGGCAGCCTAAAGCACCCTCCAGTACGCTTCTAGAAGCCTACTAAACTATATCATATATCCTAGGGTTTAGGGCTTTAGGGCAAACTATATATCCCTGAACCCTAAACCCTAAACCTTGAACCCTAAACCCTAAACCCTGCACCCTGAACCCTAACCCCTCAAACACATCCCCAAACCCAGGAACCTGGACATTTGCAACGACCGGCGTGCCAAGCGCAACACTGCGGCCCTGCAGAAGGAGACCATTGAGCTCGGCCGGGTATTGGAGGCCGCTTCGTATCGTTCTCCATACTATTACGAATATTATTAAGAATATCATTGCTAAGTATTGTTAGCAGGGTGTGTAGGGTTTGTGAAGGTGTGGGGCTCTGGGTTAAGTTCTTTCTTTTGGTAGGTTTCTTGGGCAGTTTCGAGCTTCGGGGTAAGGTTTTGTAAGGGTTTAGGGTTTAGGGTCATGCAGGGAGAAAGGGCTTAATGATCATGGGGCCTAACAGGGGCTTGCTAGACTGGTGAGGTTGTCTAGATGCGTGACTGTCCTATCCAAGGGCTTTCCCCGGCAACCAAAAAACAGACAGGGATGCCCTAGATTATCCTGTCCGTAACTTACTTTCTCGATGGTGATGGCCAGGACTATGATTATGACTGCCGGATACAGTAACGGTTGCAGATTGTTAAGTGCTCGCTGTTCTTTTCATCGCAGCTTTTTATTGACAATTTCAACGTTTGCCCTGGCTGCTTTCCGTACTAGGGTATTGGAGGTGCTTCCGAAAGGTTCAAGGTTTCGAAGTTTGAGGTTTCAGTACTATAGTACTCCTTATAGCACCCAGTATAGTAGAAACCGCACACATCTCATCTTGACGGGTCTAGGGCTGAAACATCCGCAGCTCTAGAATCCAGAATCTGCTGAGCTGAGAATGTCGAGCCAAGCGTGACACCGACGCAATGGCCGGCGTCAGCGTGAGCGAGGCCCTCCTCCGGGCGGGTGCGTCTCAGACGCACGTGGAGGATGCCACTGAGGACCTGCAGATGCAGCCGTTGGTTCCGGCTCCAGCTCCGGATCCCCAAAAGTGGCTTAGCACTGCTCTCTGGCAGCTTCCCTATGCCTCAGCTTTGAGCCAGGGGCAACTGAAGAAGATGAAGAGGGTATGCAGCCTGTCGGAAAGCGATTTCGATTCCCTTTGCGACATCGTTAAAAGGGGCTCTCGATTCCCGGGCTGCCTCTTTGGCGCGATGATTGCATGTCTCTTCATCCTCCTGCTCTCGATGATCGTCTTCTTTCTGTCAGGAAGAGCCTTTGAGAAAAACCCTGACCCGCCTCCATACTACATAGTGGGCCAAGAATCTCTCTTGGTCTGCTTCTGCCTGGCCGCAGTGTATATGTGCGCACTTCCCCGAGCAAATCGTCAGATCACGCGCGATCTCAACCAACACTTCCGGGGGCATGCAAGCAGCTTAAGCTTCCATCTCGTCGTCAGACAAAGAACTCTTTATTGCCTGGAGACTGCATGGGGACTCGTGGTGGGCTATGAAACCAGGACTGATGGAAGCGCCTGATTCCGCTGGCTCTCGGTGATTTTTCGTTTGGCACGGCTTTCCTTGCTCGAGCTAGTTTTAGCCAACTTGTCCGCGGCCTGACGAAAAAGCGAAGTTGCAAGAACTCTGAAGGTGTAGGGTTTATATGGTTTCATCAGTTCATCCCCATCAAGCTGACCACTTCTTAGTTCCAGGCGATGTTGTGTGGGCCGGAGTCTCTGTACCTGTGTTCCTTCATATGCCTGAAAGCACATCCCACCCTTTTAGTAGCCCTTTTGGTTGCCCTGGGGCGTGTTTGGGCCCCATGCCTTCAGCCCTAATGAGGGACCAAAGAGCCTGAGATAAGCCGTTCTGGTAAGGCTTTGAGATATGTGCGCATGTATATATATATATACACACAAACATACACATACATATACACATACA